AAATGGGGGTGATGATTTAAAAAATTGCAAGATAATTTTATCTGTTCAGCAAACAAATGATGGCTGCATAATCTATGAATTTGATTAGTTTTTATAATTGGCTTTTATAATTGGCCGACTGAAAAGGTAAGGTTAGTCATGGTAGTGGGCCGAGCAGAGCCAGCTCGGCCCTATTGCCCCCAAGAGCCAAGCATAAGCTTGGATCGTTCCTTAAGGGTCCAGCTCGGCTCGGCCCTGGAGCTCGTTGGCCGGGCCGGGCCGGGCCGAGCTTAGCTTGGGCCTACGAGCTCCTCTTTTTTTTTTTTTCTTTTAGATAAACCCTCATCCTTCATAGGAGATTGAGACCAGCTACTTAAATTTCGAATAGGTGGAGTTAAAAATTGTACACGAACTTATTACGTGTATACTACAAGCAAATTCCGAAACTACAGTGCTAACTAAATGTGTTAGTAGGTCTTTTGCAATCATAGAAATCACAGGCTATCATTGTTCGCACTTTCGCAAAAAGTCAATTACTTCTGAACTTTTTTAAAATGATTTATTATTAGGCATATTATGATTAAAGTAATCAAGTAATTCAGTAGGCAATGCATTTGGACTTGCGTCCGATTTCTGATTACATATTGTAGACATATTACTACTAAAAGAACAAATTGCATATATCTATACATATTAATGCTTTCAAATAAATTTAATATTTCAGCTTCGTCTTCAATATTAGTGGGAGGAGTAGGTGCAGCCCGACTAATATTTGCACCCATTCGTTCTGCATATAATTCATGCATTTCACATAAAATTTGTTCTAAATTTCTATAAGTGATAGATGTATTAAAAATTAAAACTTTTGAAATGTGATTAATTACATACGAAACTTGATAAATTGTATTGGGGTCCATGATGCATACTAAAGAAAATAACATGGGCAAGTCTTCTCGATATTTTCTGAACTTTAATTCCATAGAATGTATAATTTCACTAAAATTGAGGTCATTTTTGTCTTTATGAAAAAGTCCTTACAATTATATAAAGACGTTGAAGCATTATACAGCTAGTGGGATAATACACTCTAGATATAATATTTGTAGATTTTTTTTTTAATTTTAAAAGCTAAAAGTCAATCAGATTCATTCAAAATAGTGTCATCATCGTTTCTAATATCCCTATTGTTATAAAATTCAGTTATTAAATGTTCAAATCCTTCGCATGATTTTAATAATAAGTGGAGTTCCATCTATGTCCTACATCACTAACAAATGTTTTCGTATTCGTCATCCCAAATTCTACACAAATTCTTCAAATGCTTGTTTTCTACTAGATGAAATCAGGATATATATTAGTAATCCCTAATTCTTTAAATTTCATTCTTAATATGTTTCAGACTATCTTGCACAATTAAATTAAAAATAAGCGCACATAACAAATATGAAATAAATAATCACCGAAATCGGACTGTAGTACCCTACACAATTTATCGATAACTGGCTTATTAACACTAACGTTGTCAAATGTAAAAGAACAAATTTTACCCTCGCAATGATATCCTCTAATAATGCTCATAGTAGCGTTAAATATATTGTTAGCTTTGTAAGGGAACTTAATTATTTTAAAAGCAATAATTTTTTATGCATACACCAAAGTGGGTCTATGTAGTGTGTAGTTGCAGTTATATAACCTCTTTTATTAATTTCTTCCCATAAATGCGAAGTTAAAAATATAACACTCCTATATTTTTGCAAAAAAAATCAGTAATCAATTGCTTTTTTTGTATTAAGAAAATATTCTATTATATCGGAATGAAGAGCGTTTCTACTTACCCCAATGTATCTCGGTTGAAAATATTCTTTCATGTACTAGACGAAATGTTGGCCGCTATTGTTAGAGGCAACTCAGTAGCGGCAACTAACTTTACTATTCTCGTTCGAACTTTCTCCTTCGAATACATTCACGTGCAAATTGTAGTAGAATCGGAACTGATGATTGGATTACCAACGGTTGAGGTGGGTGATACCAATGCCTTTATATCATGTCAATTGTGTTTGGCAGGATTTACATATTGCTTAAGACTCTACGACTCCATCGACCATACGACCCTTCGGAATCAATTTAAAGTGATCCCAACATTTTACTTGTTTAATTTTTGCCTTTCGCTTCGCTCTTGTACTGGGAATATCTAATTCATCAATCCTTCTGTTCCGTTTCGAGAATATTAACGTCATCCAAATAAATTGAATTACTACTTTCGTGAGCATTCAAATCTGGAATATTTTCGGGAATAGGTACTTCGTTGAGACTAGCACTAGCAAATTCATTGTGAAAGTGAATTTGCGGTGTCATAGGTGACCTCTGATACCGAACAAACCCTCAATAAATGATTGTAGATCCATTTGTGAATTGTGATGAAATGTCGAGAATATGTATTGTAATTTTTATAGTATAGACTATTATAAGTAAGTAAACAAAGAGTATGAAAAGAAATTATAAGATTGTAATTATAAATTTGTAGTGTGATAATTGATATTGAATAATTGAAATTGATAGTAAGAGAGTAAGAATTGTTGTTGGTGTGTGAAATTTTTTAGAAATGGGTTGGAGTATGTATGGAGTAAAAGAAATAAGGAAAAAAGAAGTGGCCAAAACGGCCACTTTTGTATAGTGACAAAAACGGTCATTTTCTAAAAAGTGACCGTTTTGATCATTGTAGGCTCGCCACCACACAAGCCCACAAGCCGCTTGCCCGTGGGCATTGGGCTTGTATGACGAGCTGAGCGGCCGAGCTGACGAGCCGCTCGGCTCGTTTTACATCCCTAGATAAGCTAGATAATGCTTGTTGCCTTGTATTTTCAAGAAGATAAATGAGGTGTAGATTTAAAAATCGCGAGATAATTTTCTGTTCAACTCGGCTCGTTTTACATCCTTAGGTAAGC